CCCAATGTGTTTAGGCTAGGAGTGGTGGATTAAAAGAGCTGGAATCAATCAATTTCTTGGAAAAGAAAAAGAACCGTCCGGAGTTGACCTATGAAGAAACAGTACAGGTGGATGTGCTTTCTTTGAAACTTCACATGATACTAATGCATAGAAAAACCCAACACTATAATGAGATAGTATTGTTCCTTGCTGGGAAATGCAAGCAATAAAGGGGTAGGATTGGGTGACAGCAAATTAGATGTATCAATCATTGACTTGTCTCTCTCTCTCTCTCTAGACTCTTCTCCTTCAAATTTCCCAACCACTTTCATCTGCAGACACAGAGGCAGTGGCTGTGGGTGTAGGAGAAATAAATCCCAAGACAGTGCTTTCCCCTTCTCAAATGGTTTTCATGTCAGACCAAGAATCTGGGGAAGAAGGAGAGTGGGTGTCAGGGCCCGACTTTCGAAGCTTCGAGAACCGGACCGTGAACCAAAGGACTAAATCAAAAACAAACGAAAAAAAAAAAAAGAATAAAAGGAAATAAAAGTAAAGTAAGAAGATTTGTTTTGAAATTATTACGGGAGGAATTACAAATATAAAAGGAAATACAAAAGACTCTAAAAGACCGATAAGGGACTGATGCTCTGGAACGACCTTCTGTGTGACCGCACAGCTTTCGAACGCTCCTCCACTTCGACCGGTATCTGAAAAAAAAAAAGAGTAGAAAGGAATGAGTATAAAAATTTATACTCAGTAAGCCACCTACTTGTAGACTCTTGTTGCACCCTAAACTTAGCAAACGATCATGGACTTTCTCTTGGTTCTAGAACAACTGATTATGGTCTTAGCTCATTAGGGCTTTTTCCCCATTGGAACTTGTCCCTTCGGACTTCTTTGGTTCTTAGACCTTTTATTTATCCCACAGAGTTCCTTTTTATGCTAACCTGTGTTGGACTGGTGCCTTGCGAGTGGCTACCTTGGTATGTGTATGAGATTACCTGGGGTCTTGCCTAGGAAGTGAGCTGCAACCCCCTAGTCCCATGATAATCCCCTTGTATTTGGGAGGGCTACCTCCCCTATTCCATCCAGTTAAATGGTCAATTACGACGTGGGTATCCCCTTTCCCATACTAAACTGCTATCGAGCAGTCGCGTCCTGATCAAGAACCCGTTGGTCCCCCACGAAGCTATATCACCATCCACACACAAGTAGCCTAAGGGTACTCTAAAGATATTTCATGTGCCGTGATGGTCTGTTATACTATTAGGAAAGGTTAAGTTTATTCCATGGTGATTTGATGCTCTAACCATGAATCTTTGGACTTAATCATAAAAGTGGCCATGAAAATTAGCTGAGTACGTACATAACTATCATCCAACGTCATCAAACAATATTCATGCAAAGTAAACAAACAAGCTCAACGGGCCGATAACTTCCATCAACTCCTGTAGCGCAGATTTCACAAATTCCCATCCTCCTTTCAGCATAGAATATCCATATATATAAATAGCACAAACTTAAAACTTAACAATAATACTCAGGTAATTTTCATATTCATTCACATAATGCATCCTACTTCAATAATCAATTACCTCACACGACACTACGCCTTAAAATAATTAAACTGCATGCATTCCAAGCGACTCCTACATGTATTACTTCCTAGAATTTCGTGTGGTGACTTACTGATTGACGTGTGTTCTCGTTCTCCGTTTAGCGCTTCTACGCTAGGGAGGAAATTCAGGAAAACAGAAGCCGAACGGGCTGAAAACGATACCTCACGCGCTCACACGCGCATGGGGAAGCATTACACGCGCGCGTACGGACGCGCATGAGGGAAGGAAGACGCGCGCTCAGGTGTTGGCACGTGGCGCCCGGTGAACGGTCATCCGAGGTCGAGGTCGTCGGTTCGAAACCGGAAGGACGCGCTGGAAATCCGAATTCTTTTACGCTGACGCGTGACAACTCGAAGCCGGGTTGCGCGCGGGTAATCGGGTAGCGAGCCGCCGATCTTCGAATCCTGCCCGACGCGAAGTATTTCTTTGATTTTTCGTTTCCAATAGACGCTTGACACGTGGCCCTTCGTCTCCGGCCAGCCTCCTCCTTTCTCCTGCGATTTCCAGCATACGATTACCTTTTTCCATTTTCTTTGCATTTTCACATTTCGTTCTACTTAACTCGGATCAACATGGTTCCTTCACGAGATTTGTAGAGCGTATATTCATCTTTAGGCAGGTATTTTTCTTGTAATTTATTCCTAATCCCCGGGATAATTATCTTAGTCTGAAGATGGCAAGAACCATCAATACCTACCTCTTTGACGAACGCCGGAACTCCCATTTCCGATCTGAATCGATTCCAACTTCCTTCACAGGTTTTGAGCGTAATCCTCTGTCGATTAACATACTCAAAATTTTAGGTTATAACTCTTACTATATCTCACAGATGGAAGGAAATCCGAGAATTTAGATTCAAGAACTTTACCTTTAGATTTTTCCTCGTTTCTGGATGGTTTTGGACGATCTAAAGGTTAAAGAATGTTCTCCTCTAAGTTCTGTGAAGATTTCACGAAGAAGGCTCGGCCGGAACCGGATTCCTCGTGGCCGGAGCGGCGGTTACCTCCCTTTTATCTCTCTAGAACTTTCTCCCTCTCTCCTCCTTTTCTATTCTTTTCTTTTCCCCACTTTTCCTTTTTTTTTTTTAATCATATCTCACTAAACTCAATTCCAGAACTCAATTTCAGGGGTTTGACAGAAAGGGAGGGTATAATGACTAAATTACCCTTTCAAGTTGACTTTGACCCTATTAAAATTTTCCATCATTTTTTCTTTTATATTTTTCTTTAAGTTCTTCCTTTATTTTCACTCCTTTTTCCTCTTCTCACCTCCAACTTTAGTCTTTAAGACTTTCAATAAAATATTTAGAGTTCAACTTTAAACGAAAAATTAAATTTTAAGCTTTCAGCTAGACGGTGGGAAATCCAGGAGAAAGGGAAAGATAAAACCCCTTTTCCTTTTCAAGTTAGGCCATCAATCTTCTGTTTCATTTCCTAGTAATGTTTTCTGAAATGTCATGGATCAACTTGGTATTGCTTTCTAAGTCCTCTTCTTCGTTTTTTTTTTCTTTCCTAAAGGTGTTCGGAAATCTCTGCGACCACTATCACAGAACCAATGGCGGTGATAGCAGCGCCAGTCCCGGAAAATCCTCCGGCGGCAACGCTTATTGGGCAAATGGAAGTTGAATTTTTTGCCAACTGCCAGTGTTGTGGGCTGACGGAGGAGTGTACAGAGGCTTACATCGAGGGAGTCCGCCGTCGATTCGACGGAAAATGGATTTGCGGCCTGTGTTCGGAGGCAGTTCAAGACGAGATTCTCAAGTCCGACGTCGTACTAATCACCACCGAGGAACAAACTAATAATAGCTAATAATAGAATTTGAATTAGTTACGAGACGGAGGAGTTGAATTCAAATTCATCCACAAAAATCTCCACAAAAATCTCAACCAATTCCGAGAATCCCCTATAAAAGGACCTCCCTCCCCATCACTCAAATCACTCCTCCTCTCAATCTCAATTCAGTTTTCTGTTGTCACCAACAACTGGTATCAGAGTGATCTTGCAGCAGCAGAAAAACAAGTTGAGAACTACGTTCAGCCCGCCATCCCGAGGTTCGACGGTCACTATGATCATTGGGCGATGTTGATGGAAAATTTTCTCAGATCAAAGGAGTTCTTTGATATGGTGGAAACAAGTTATGAAGAGCCAAATGTAGGCGAGGTACTCTCAGCTGATTGACAGCAACTGTTGGCAGCATCGAAGTTGAAGAACCTGAAGGTCAAGAACTATTTATTTCAGTTCATTGATAGCACTATCTTGGAAACAATGCTTCAGGAAGAAGACATCCAAAGAAATTTGGGACTCTATGAGGAGGAAGTATCAAGGCTCAACGAGAGTAAAACGTGCTCAACTACAGGCAGTTAGGAGAGACTTTGAAATTCTCCAAATGCAAAAGGGAGAAACAGTGAATGATTATATTGGCAAGGTTATAAGTCTTGCAAGTAAAATGAGGATGCATGGTGGTTCAATCACAGATGTTGCAGTCGTAGAAAAGATTTTGCGATCACTAACACCAAAGTTCAATTACATTGTATGTTCTATCGAAGAAGCAAACAATGTCGAGGAAATGCAAATAGATGAACTCCAAAGCTCCCTGTTAGTACATGAGCAGAGGCTCAATCGTACAAGTGCAATAGAGGAGATGACAGCCTTAAAGATATCCACACCAAGTGAAATTTCAAGCTCTAGAGGTAGAGGGCAAAGAAGAGGCAGAGGTCGTGAGAGAGGCAGTCGAGAAAGAAGTGGAGATGTTGGCAGGTCAGCAGACCTAGTCAGAAACGATTATAACAATAAAGGCAAGAGACATTTTGATAAGTCTAAGGTGGAATGTTACAGATGTGGACGCCTTGGACATTACAAAAATGAATGTTATACCAGACTCCAAAAAGAGAAAAGAAATCAATCCAATTTTGTGGAGAGAAGAGAAGAAGAAACATTATTAATGTCATTCCATGCTATAAAGGTTGCAGATCAAGGTGTATGGGTCGTAGACTTTGGATGCAGCAATCATATGACAGGTTGTAAGGAATTTTTCTCAACTTTAGATGAAAATTTTCATACTACGGTCTCTCTTGGCAACAATTCATCTCTCCAAGTGATGGGCTTCAATGCAGCAAGAAGGATACTTCGTTATGTGAGAGGAACCTCTGATTTGGGGGTATTCTACAAAAAAAGAGATGATCCGAAGATAGTTGGCTATACAGATAGCGACTATGCAAGTGATATAGACGATCGTAAAAGTACTTCAGGAAGTATTTTCTTGATGAGTTCAGGAGCTATTTGCTGGTCTTCAAAGAAGCAACCTATTGTAACACTCTCAACGACAGAAGCAGAATTTGTGGCAGCATCAGCATGCTCGTGCCAAGCAATTTGGTTAAGAAAAATGCTTGAAATTCTTAATCAGAAGCAACCAAATACGACGGTTATATATTGTGATAATATGTCAACTATTAAGTTGTCTAAAAATCCTGTGTTGCATGGAAGGAGCAAGCACATCGATGTTCGATTTCATTTCTTGCGTGATTTGTGTAAAGAAGGCATTATTGAACTCAACTTTTGCCGAAGTGATGAACAAATCGCAGACCTATCTTAGAAGATGAAATGAAGTCCTAAACTGATTCCGCAGAATTCAGTTTAAGGGAGGGTGTTGAAACTAATAATAGCTAATAATGGAATTTGAATTAGTTACGGAAGAGAAGGACGAGGTGAATTCAAATTCATCCACAAAATTATTCACAAAAATCTCAACCAATTCCGAGAATCCCCTATAAAAGGACCTCCCTCCCCAACACTCAAATCACTCCTCCTCTGTTGTCACCAACAAGTCATGGCCAAGCACATGAGCTTCTGCAAGAAATTCGCCGCCACCGCAGGGCCACCTCCGGACCCGACGCCCCATCTGATAACGGCAATGAGACAGATCCTCCGCCGAGTTTAGACTCCCCAAGAGCCTTGAGGTCCAAGCGGACCAGTCGAACCTCCAGCGCAGACAAAATTGGCGGCCGGGTTCTTGGTTGACATGAGCAATGAATTGACAGATAATTGGGAATAGAATCGATCTTGATGCTCAATGTGAAATGGTAAGGCGTTAAGTTAGATCTCTGAATCTGTAATTTTGCAGAAATATAGTTTTTTTTGCTATTGCTTTCGTTTTATTTTCCGAGAGAAAATTGACTCTGAAATAGGAATAATATTAAATAACAAAAATACAAATTAAAGGAAATGGGTGACCTAAGAGAATCAATAATTGAGTTTGAAAAATAGGTTAAAGGAAATTAATAAAATTAAAGGTGTGCAGAATTCTTGGTTGTACTTGTTCTGCTACAGCTGGTGAGTGTTTGTTTAATGGACCCGATGGCCGATGCAACTCCAACTTTCAAATATATTTAATTAGAAAAGAAAAATGTATAATTACATTTTGTCATAAATAAATAAAAATAAATAAATATTTACGGATAAGGTCAACATGCATAGAAGCATGATAGATAGATATAAAATGAGACGCTAACACATAGAGAGGCACATTGTGGCTTAGGTTGTAGCGAGTGCAAGCAAGAGGAATACGCATATTGGCCCAAAGTATCGGCCATTTTTATTCTCAAAATCCACCTTCCTTTGCATGGCATTATGTGTTTGGATTTTAATATATGCTTTTTTCTTAATTAGCAAGTGGCATCATTAATCAGATTAGATTCAACCGCTATCATAAATTATATATATAGACGATTATTAAATACTACAAATAAATAAATTTAAAATTAATTTTGAAGGTGCAACTAAAATAGTATGGCAAATCAACTATTGGCGGCAGCTACTGGAGTCACTAGGGTAGTTGTGGTAGTCGCCGGAAGTAGATAATAGCTGGTAGCTGACGGAGGTGGGTGGTGGTGGCAGCGGCTACTAGAATGGTCACCAGAGATGGAGTGATGGTTATTAGAGGTGGTTGGTGGCAATTGTTGGCGAAGGCGGATGGTTGGGGTGGTTGCGGCGAGGTGGATGTGGCGGCTGTCGCTGAAGTGGTCGTCGGTCGCAGTAGAGTGAAATTTGAAGTGCGAGGGTAATTTGTATATTTTATATTTTATATTGTATAGATTCTAAGTCGCTCAAAATAATTTATTTCTTAAATTCATTTTTGAGAAAATCATTTTAAGTGGTAATTAAATACGGCAACTATTACAATAAAGAGTGTTAAATAAAATAAAATAATACGCGAAGAAAAGATAAAGTTGTGCAGATATTATCCCACAATTTTAGATTATTTTTTTATTTTTTTATTTAATGAATGAGAACTTTATATAAAATGAAGATAATTTCTTTTATACACAAGGAAAGAATATTATATTTGAAATAGTTTAGTTAGGAATAAGTTAAAATAGGGAATATAAAAATCAAAGCGACCTTTGAAGTGTATAGATGGAGTTACATTACATCAAATTAAGGCTGGCTCTTAATAATAACAAAATATATAATTAAATGTGAAAGGGCATATAAACATAAAATGATGTAATTAATAATGCATATTATCTTAATATTTAATTCAAAACAGCCACTGCAGTCCCCATGTTCTAAGCATAAGTTCTTACTTCATTACTCTCTCTATTTTATGCGTTCCTCTTCTTAGCTTGTTGCCTCATACCTCTCTTTCTTTGATCGCCTCCATATCTCTCTTTCTCAAATGCCTCAAAGCTCTGAGCAGGAAGAAGGGCAGCAGGGTGGTGCCGGGTTGCGGTGGGTGACACATCAAGGGATCCAGTTTCGGAGGCGACGAATGGCAGTGGCACGGCTCGGGGGGAAGAGATCGGGGCGGCTCGTGGGGTGGGGGAGGAGGCTGAGGAAGATAAGGCTGAGATGGGTGAAACTGAAATGCATAGCCATGGTGAAGAAGGTGAAGAAATGCTGCGCAAGTTTGATGAAGGATATGATGGAAGCAGGGGCATATGGTGACTCCTATCAACACAGGCTTCTCTTGGAGACTTCTTTTGCCATTCCAATTTTGGGCGTCTCCTTTTCTACCCATTCAACTCATGCTGCAGCTTCCGCATAAATTTCTATCTCAAATTTGTCC